GTGCAATTTTTGGGGCATACGATCAGTCAAGGACAGATTCGGATGGATAGCAACAAGGTCGCGGCGATCAGAGATTGGGAGGCCCCAACAAAGGTAACCGAGTTGCGGTCCTTTCTTGGCCTTGCCAATTATTACCGGCGATTCATCTTTGGCTATTCAGCAATTGCGGCTCCACTCACAGATTTGCTGAAGAATGACCACTCTTGGGTGTGGACTGATTCATGTCAAGACGCATTCGAGGGTCTGAAATTAGTAATTACCGAGGAGCCTGTTTTGGCATTGCTTGACTTTTCTAAAGTCTTTGAGGTGCATACGGATGCATCAGATTTTGCTATTGGGGGTGTCCTAATGCAAGAAGGCCATCCAATAGCTTTTGAGAGCAGAAAATTGAACGATGCTGAGCGTCGTTATACTGTCCAAGAGAAGGAGATGACGGCAGTGGTTCATTGTCTTAGAACCTGGCGTCATTACTTGTTGGGAGCTCATTTTATTGTCAAAACAGAAAACTTGGCTTTGGCCTCCCAAAACTTTGTGTGCCTATTTACTTCGTTGTCTTTCTATCTTTGTGTGTGTATTTGCCTTCGTTTAAGCACGAGTTCGGTGTTTGATATTTTTAGGGACTGAAGTTGGAGCAGCAAATATGTTGTCCGATTGTCCTCACGGCCTTGTTTGAGTTAAGCCCGTGACATAATGCTTGCATTATTTTTTCTAATACCTCCTACCAAACGACCCCTAAGAGATTTACTAGTATGATTTGTCTAAGAGGTAATATGATTTTGCAACCACTATGTTGGTTAGTAATATGATTTTCAACCACTATGATATTAACATATAGTAATATGATTTTCAACCACTATGATATTAACGTATAGTAATATGATTTTCAACCACTATGATATTAACGTATAGTAATATGATTTACCCCATGAGAGAGTAATGTCATTTGCAATTTTGCAGGTTTTCTTTGGCGGTACATTCTAATCCAGGGCAGATGTAATAATATGGTATTTATACTGTAACAGTTACTTGAAGATAAAACATGAAAGCAAGGATCCAAGCACTATAATGAGATTAAAATAGCAAAGCAACAATGCTATTCTTTTTTGAGAATGAAGCAACAATGTTATTCTTTTGACAAAACGGTGAACTCAGTAACGTCAAGAGCAGTTTTATTTAAGTCAGTTATTATTTGCCTTGTCATGTGCCAAATTTTGATTTCTAGGAAAACCCTCAGAATCACACCATTACCTTTAAATATAGCAATCCCAAGAATGGCGAGAAAGTTGAATATAGCACCATATCCATACAGAAATAAGTTCTGCAAGTTAAACAGTAACATGTCAGATGGTTCAGGAAGAGGGCACTGATAGAAGCCACGTCCACCCTTTATGAATAGAGAATTTGCATAATCTATATTGCTCGAGAGACAAGATCTGACATGCATCAATCAACTGAAAAGAAATGCTCAAAGTCTCAAACATTGGAGTAAACTGGCACTCAATAAGTACTTAAGACAGGTATATAAAAATGTTACATCCACTCAAACATAACAATCGTTCCGCGAAAGAAGGCAGAGGTAAATAATGAGCCAACCTAACCACAGATCATTCTGCTGATAAAGAAACAAGAGAAATGATAACCAACCATGGTGGAGTTACCTGGAGATAAATGCTAGTGTCATATTGACTCTTCAAAGCATACTCATTGAATACAGAGGCCATAGAAGGAACAGTTACCTGTGTGAAAAACCCTTCTTTAGCCAGTTTCTTAAATGCTGTCCATGGGTTCACTAATGCCTCTTCAAAAACAGAACAAAAATGAATTGGTAGTAGAAGCTTTTAATTACTTACAAAAATCAGTGTATAGATGTATGCAATTGTGGTAACTGGAAGAGCCAAAGAAGTGGTGCCTTCAGGAATGGATCGAAGTTGATTAATGCTAATCCCAATTAGCAACAAAGCAAGAGCCTCCCACTGTACCATAATAAGTCCTATTATATGGGTATACAACTTCTAGCATCCTGAAAGAAGTTACACAGGATGCTTCGCTCCTTCCTGCCTTCACAATCAATATTGCATCACCAGCTTATTTTACTAGTTTGAAACCACTAACCTGAATTATGGAAAATCGTCGTTTCATGATAAATTTCAAAAGCACAGCAATAACCAGAACCTGCACTTTGACAACAAAGAAACAAATATTGTAAAAATTAAAGAAAAGTTCTACCGGAGCATAATATCCAAGAAAGTACTCTGAGACATCCTTTTGCTAGTATATAATAGTGAAACCAAGATACTCATCAATTGATATGTAAAGTCTCAGGTATCGAAAAGAAATAACCACCTTAATAAATTTTTTGGCTTTAGGTAGTATTCAAGGAGAGAGAAAAGTGAACAAAAAAGAGTAGTCCTTTTCTCGGCCATGTAAGAAGGATTTTGGACAGATAACTTTAGACATTCCAGAATAGATGCTAAAAGAACTTTCTTTCACTAGATTATCCAATAAAGGAATAGTAGACTAGTTGAGTCCGACCCTTGTGCATAATATTATCTTGGAGAAAATTTATAACCACCTCAAAAATTCCTAAGAGAACTTAAATATAGCCCTTTATGGATGCTCCAAGCTTTTCCATGTTTTACTGAAGGGACCGAGGGAAATATTAACATGATTATAACAGAAACCAAATTACTAGAATCATTCTTCCTTTTACCACTAACAAAAGAAAAATATGCATATGAAAATCTAGCAATTATGAGATATCTAGTTTTTTTCTAAAGCCCAGTCACGAGTAGATTTATTCATAAAATCAAAGGAAGATTCAACCACCTGCTAAAGACTGCAAGCTGTTTTCAAAGAGTACCACACAGATTATCAGCCCATATTGCTTAAAGTTTCAAGAAGATATATAGTGTTTTACACTGGAAGCCTCCATAATACAGATTAAATGGGAGCAATTTCAGTCAAGTCCTGAACCCAAATTCAGAATCTAATCAGGATAGATTCAGAATCCAGTCTAATATTTATTTATCACAATTTAAGATTAAATATAATTAGATCAATAATAATTATAAATTAAGATAAAAAATGTATAATTGAAACTTTTTTTTATATCAGCTAATCGACGGATCAGTATGAGATTGTCAAGAATGAAACTCCTGATGGCCCTGATGATGGAGACTTGAAGAAGTACAGGTATAAATTTAATAGAAGGCTCATTCGTAGATCAGCATAAAATTATTAATCCAATCCAAGATGAGTAACCGAGTTCTTCTTCCTATGGTTGGCACTAACACATGCATTGCTAATACACTTATTGGCATTCCATACTAAGTCAGAGCAGTAGCACAGATGCTGGTATTATTAGTACAGCAATAAAAAAGGACAATGGAACACCTGTCCATTGATACCAAAATTAGTACCGTAATTATTCTAACGATACCCTTGATACATAGCTTCATGTTTGAGATCAAATAAGCAACTAACTAATCTGGAATAACCAAAATGTAGGAGATTGTGCGAAAGAAAGAAAAGCAATCGGCGTCAGTAAAGTAATTGAAGAATTCAGCAAAAAACAAACAGATGATATGTCGTAGCAGTGGTCAACTATAGCAGTTACCTTCAGATTGCTTAGCATCTTCACAGTTGCTGGGTTGAAATATAACTGTACAAAAATATTAGAGGGAAAATGTCAGAAAAAGGAGAACCGTGGTAAAAGAAAATTCCCAGTGTATAGTCTGGTAGCTAGCAAGCGAGGACATAAAGATTATATTGAACAGTGAAAAGATCTTAATAGTAGTAGAACAGTCAATCAAATATATATACATGACGCAGTATCTTCAAAACCAAACATCAAATCAAGTTTTTCAGGGGTGTCTCAATAACTGTTAAAGCGAATGGAGACATAGGGCAAAGAATCATTAACCAAAACAGAGTTACGAAAGATGAATTTAATTCTCCATTTACATCTTAGCCATAAGCAGAAAGAGTTAAGACTGTCACTTGTCTCCTACAGCACCATGGCATGGCAAGTCTACACATGCCAGACCTTCACCCAGTAGGACATCTAAACAATGGTAATTGGTTCTTCAGCAGCCTCTCTTATTTGGAATTTTTAGTCGTGTTAAGGACAAAGCGACAGCCAGCAGGAAGTATTGCGCACAGAAGCACTCTTGCAAAACCAGAATAGTCCTCTGGTTTGTTGAGTATTAGTTATTAAGAAATAACAATCTCTATGGAATCATCACTACTGAAGCAGAATTCAAGATTTCTTATTTTGAGGCAAAAATCCAACTCCCTAGCCCAGAAGTCATTAGGTAATCTTGGAAATTAGTACTGGATATATCCCAAGTTTTGAGACAAACCGTAAAGTTTGAGACAGCAATTCTTCTCATGCCAGACCTGTTATTCTCAATGAATGAATGGGTGAAACTAGACACTATTCCAACTTTCTAGCAATGTACAGTACAAGAAAAAACGCAGACACAAAATGTGCCATGTTGGACGAAATAACAAAACAATGGGAATAATCACTCAGAGAACTGACAAGAACAGCAACAAATAGTACCTGCATGATGAACTTTAGGTAGTTATTTATGGCATAGAGTAGTGCTGGTACAGCAAGAAGCACATTGTTCCGTGCAGCCTGAAGAAAATATAAAATGGTCATGAGAAATTATCAAGTAATAGTAAGCCTGTTAAATGTTAGTAGCATGTTTGTACAAAAAATACAATGGACAACTAACTAATGAATGCATGTCAAGCCAGTAAGATTTCAGTCACACAGAACAGATATCAAGCAGTCAACATAGAAAAGCTATACAAACTGACAACATATTTCAATTCTCGAAGAAGCTGAAATAGATTATTGCAAAGTAGTGGTTTTAATAGAATGGTGAAGGAAAACAAAAGTTAACCAGGATGCAGATAAGAATTAGTCAATTTTAAAATGAAACTGACACTGCAACAAAGGAAAGTGGAAGCTTTCATGCAATCAACAATCCAGAAGGAATCAGAAGTCTTCGATTCTATTATAAGTCAAAATTTTCATAACTAGACACCTGGCCAGTGTCAAAAGTATGTACAAACTGTTTCTTTGACTCAACCGGAGCTATTCACTGGCATTTATCAAGTTGCCAACTACATACACATCTGTGAAGGCAACAAGTGGAGGTCTTTCAACAAGTATGCTACACTTTTCTTTTCTTTTTCCTCCCCGCCCCTCACTGACTCAATCTCGTTGTTTATGGACCTTAGGTCACATTAGAAGCTTAAGAAAGAGGAAAACCAGTATTTGCAAGCATCAATTAGTCACTTAAAGGATGTTTCCATTTTACATCAGATGAACTGACAAGTGAAAACAAAAGGAACAAAACTAGGTAAAAAGGTTGAAGTTTTCTTTTTCCAGCCAAGTGTGCAAACTTGAATTGTCTTTGGGGAGAAAACCAAAACTCATACAAAACTTGGCAGCTTGAAACTATGTAGAAATACGAAGAGGATCCAACTCCCAAGCTCGGTACAAGAAAACTCAGCTATGATAAAACATAGCAGTTTGACACTACGTAGAAATATGAGAAGGTTCCATCTTCCGAGCTTGGTCCAAATTATATCAATGTTAGGCATGTCTTTTGCAGTTGTCCCAATAAAACTATTCTTTGACAATACTAAAAGAGTTTAAGCATCTGTGGATCAACTCAGTGTCTTCATCCTTATTCTCCACATTATGGATCAACTCAGTGTCGTCATCCTTATTCACCACATTATGTTTATTCTTTTTTGCCTTTTCTGTAGATAATATTCAATACTTTAGAGCCTGGGATGTTGATATGAAGAGAAGTAGAACTCACAGCAATATATTGATCCTTCTGTGGAATGAATAAATGAGGGCGTCCTGACATGCAACTAGAATTGTAGGATTCTTGAAGTTTCTTCTCAGTAGAATATACCCAGCGAAGAGAAGCATTTAGTTCGTTTATCCAATATAAACTATATACAGCATGCCAGGCACCTTTTGTTTACTGCATGATATCCGATGTGAGTTCCCGTAAAACCACTAATTCGATCTTTCTTAACACTTTATATGCGTGAAGGCCCAATCTGTTAGCATCAAGCTCAAATTTCCTTCCTGCATGTGTGGCCCCCAACTGGGAGCTTTGCGTAACTACTATTGGAGGTGTGGTAGAAAGTTGACAACTTATGATATCTTTCTTCTTTGCAGGTTCATACACATAATTTGAATTGATGATTGAGAAAGCTGTTTCAGGCTGTCTGCACCCAAAAGCGACAATTCATTTGTCCCTTTGTCCAAGACAATCATCCAGGCTAGGCATCTTCCTCGTCCTTAATGCCACACATAAGGTAGGCTAATCATATAAGAAGAGGACTCAACTGAGAGACTGGCTCCTCAGATACTGCATCACTTACAAACTTTATACTATAATAAAGAACATATGCAAGAATGATGATATTACACGGACAGTGATGAGCAATAAAGAACTAAGAGCAGTTACGCAACACTCACATCAATAAGATTTTACCTGTACAAATGTGGATATTGAAAGAAGTGGCTTTTCTCCAACTTTTTGATGCCTGGCCTACAGAAACAATCCAACAAGACATATAAATTGAGCTTTCTAAAAGAAAATATATGAAGAAAATATTATGAGTAAAACCAAAAACATAGATAAAGTGTACCTGGATTAAAAGCATTAGTATTGCAAAGACGACCTTTGTTGCCTCCGTCAAGAAGTTGACACTTACGGGACTAAACTTGAATTTTCCGTCCACTTTTGACATAAATACTAAAACAGGCTGAAAACAGAAATAAATACTGAGTGAGACTTATGTCTTTCTCATAATTAAGCAGAAAGTTTGAATGCCTTGCTGATAACAGCAAGTGACTACAGATATGTAATAACAGCAATAAGTTAACCACATTCAATAGAAAAGCAGAAATTTTTAACAAGTACCAAATAACAGTGATTGTTTAGGAAAGGAGCACAGTCCACACAAATTCAAGAAGCTTAATAAGTTTCCAGTTTACACGTAGGATAATATCATTTGCATGCAAAAAAAAAAAAAAAATTGAGCGCTGAAAAGAAGATGAGTAAACAGTTAAACATGTGAAGAGGACCTCTACCTGTAAACCAACCAGCATACAATCTCCTACAACCAAAAGGACATTAAGAGCACGCTGCTTTGATGAAACCTTGCTTCTGTGTCGATCATATGCCCTTGAAATAGTTTTTACGGTTGGAGAAACAAGCTTGGAATGACAGACAGCACATTCTGCCATACCGTTCTTCATGAGTCAACTGCTTAATATTTCAGATTTAAAGAAATTTCACCTAAATACAAGAAACATTGTGAGTACAACAACCACCATATATTAGAATAAATATTGAAAGGGCAAACAAGAAAATAAAGGCAACACCTGAGAAAAAATTCTGTTAGTTCTACTTGTCAGATATATTTAAAATATCAGGAATTAAGGATCACATAGCTCACCTTCATCTTTCTAAGACTATTTCATTTACCATTCACTAAAATAGTCAACTCAAACAGCTTAAGCACATCAAATGAAATACATGCAAAGGTCATCCAGATCCTAAATTTTCTCAACCTTCTTAACTAACTACAATCCAATCCAAACTGCAACTGCTGCATACAAAGACCCATATTACATGGATCATTCATTCCCCTTGACATATCCGTGTCAAATCGGTGTAATTAGGATGTGCTTACTTAATGGATATTCAACTTGATGTATCAGTAATGGTATGCACACACACACCTATAATGGATACATACCCATAAATTAATCCATGTAACATAGACAGAGATAACCACACATGAAACATTACTATGACGAAGCCATATAACCAATCCACTAACAAATGGTCTACAGCTGGTGACTCAACTGCAACTAAATAGAAAAGCTAAATCATGACACCGACAACATCATCCGCATAAACACATAGTACATAAAGGGAAGAGCCCACTAAGTAACTTACTGAACAAAATGCACTTGTTCTTTTTTATTTTTTACAGAATGAAGTTATTCAGCAGTATAAACCCTCACTTCACCTCTCTCTGGTATCAAAAGCAGAGATCAATCAAATCACTTTTAACGCAAAATTTATGGAAATTAATTTAATAGATCTCACTATAAAACCAGTAAAAAAAACACATCTTTTTGCATGACAACAACTTTCATATCCAGATAGTACTGAATTCGACACGGATCAAGCATGTAACATCCATTTTAATTAACAAAAGCCAACAAAATGTAACATCTCAACGTATGTCAAATAGATCTACATCTCAATCTTTTTTTAACAAAATTCAACATTGCTCATAAACAATAAAAAAAGAACTTACCTGTGAAAGAAGTGATTTAAACGGAGTGAGAGTATGTATAATTTCTTGGCGGGAAATTGTCTGCCGGAAGACAAACTTTTCCGGCGAGATCCAGAGAGCTCCGACCGACTTCAGCTGAGAAAACTAGTAAGGACTGGAAACGTGGGCAATTGTGTAATTGGAGAAGTGGAAAATTTAGGAAAAATTCTGAAAGAGTTTGTTTGTTTTAAGATGCGGGGAATATGCAGGGGAGAGAAGAAGGGAGTTGGAAAGGGGCAATGAATTTAGTTTTTAAGTTTTATTTTTAATTTAATTGAATAAAGGCAGCCACATTCATTTGGTGTCTAAGTTTCTCTATCGCTTTGCTTCAATAGTAAAACATAATAGGTGTGAAGTTCTTGTCACATAGTAGGTCTTTCATTTTTCTTTGAGAAATGACTAAGCTTTTAACATGACTGAATTTCATTTTCAAAATTCTTCTCCAACCCAACAAACATTCTATACCATCATTGCGTCAAGGGAAATTCATCTATCAAAATATGTGGAGCTTTAAATTAAATAATAACTACTCATATTTTGAATTTTATTTTGTAGTTCATAACTGTATGGGTCGAAACTTGACTCGTAATAATTAATGAGGTTAGCTCGCTTTAAGCCTATTCGGGTTAATAAATGGCACGATCATTCGTTAACAATCAGCATTCGAGGATTACTCGGTTTGACCAACGAGGACATGGCCTATTCACTATTGACGAATGTCCTCTCGACATGATCGCGGCCGTCCAACGCCAGCTGGCAGGGCTCATAGCTATAAATACTAAGAGAAAGAACCCTAAAAGGGGGGCTGCTTCTTCTTCCTCATCTCTACTTCTAAGAAAGAGAGAACATTATTGTAAGACTCATAACCTCTCCAAGGAGAGGCAGACCAAATCAATGTCAAACCAATAAAAAGTTCCACACCTTTGTTCTCTGAATACATTAAATCATGTCTTATCTTTTCTATTTAAGTTTTACGGTTGTTTATTACGATCTGCTATGATTGACCCTTGTCTTATTATGATTGATTTATGCTCATAAAGTGCACGATAACTTTGAGCAAAACAATTTGGCGTCGTCTGTGGGGATTTCATAGCAGAATCGCGTAGTTTATCCTTGAACCAAAAGGGAAAGAAAAGCACCCAAAGGGGGAAACAACAACTCAGCTCGAACGGGCCAAAGCAGCGTAGCGGGTGAAGGGAACCCAGAAGCTTCGACAAGAACTTGGATCCCTCGCCCCCGAGAAATACAAGAGGAAGAAGAAGAAGCAGATCCCCTCCTTACGGGGATAGCACGCATGAGGTACCCTCATCTTCCCAATACAGGGTCTTGCCAAAAAATAGGGGCACGAAAGCATCCCGAACCGAGATCCACTAGGGGACAGCCCATACAAACTATTCGAGAAGATTACACACAAATCGGTCGAGATCTCCTACTGGAAACTAACCCCTAACACCCTGCACACAATGGGTTACGAGGGAAGACAAAGGTTCAACTACGGTTGAACAAACAACTCGGGCTACGTGCCTTCACTAAAAAGTTCAACTACGAGTTGAACCGGGACTCAGGCCAAGTGCCTTCGCCATCAAAGAAATACAAAGGTTCAACTACGGTTGAACAAACAACTCGGGCGATGTGCCTTCACCAAAAAGTTCAACTACGAGTTGAACTAGGACTCAGGCCAAGTGTCTTCGCCATCAAAGAAATACAAAGGTTCAACTACGATTGAACAAAAAACTCAGGCTACGTGCCTTCACCAAAAAGTTCAACTACGAGTTGAACTGGGACTCAGGCCAAGTGCCTTCGCCATCAAAGAAATACAAAGGTTCAACTACGATTGAACAAACAACTCAGGCTACGTGCCTTCACCAAAAAGTTCAACTACGAGTTGAACTGGGACTCAGGGCAAGTGCCTTCGCCATCAAGGAAATACAAAGGTTCAACTACGGTTGAACAAACAACTCGGGCTATGTGCCTTCACCAAAAAGTTCAACTACGAGTTGAACTGGGACTCAAGTCAAGTGTCTTCGCCATCAAAAGAAATACAAAGGTTCAACTACGGTTGAACAAACAACTCAGGCTACGTGCCTTCACCAAAAAGTTCAACTACGTGTTGAACTGGGACTCAGGTCAAGTGCCTTCGCCATCAAAGAAATACAAAGGTTCAACTATGGTTGAACAAACAACTCAGGCTACGTGCCTTCACCAAAAAGGTCAACTACAAGTTGAACTGGGACTCGGGCCAAGTGCCTTCGCCATCAAAGAAATACAAAGGTTCAACTACGGTTGAACAAACAACTCAGGCTACGTGCCTTCACCAAAAAGGTCAACTACAAGTTGAACTGGGACTCGGGCCAAGTGCCTTCGCCATCAAAGAAATACAAAGGTTCAACTACGGTTGAACAAACAACTCGGGCTACGTGCCTTCACCAAAAAGTTCAACTACGAGTTGAACTGGGACTCAGACCAAGTGCCTTCACCATCAAACAAATACAAAGGTTCAACTACGGTTGAACAAACAACTCAGGCTACGTGCCTTCACCAAAAAGTTCAACTACGAGTTGAACTGGTCTCAGGCCAAGTGCCTTCACTATCAAAGAAATACAAAGGTTCAACTATGGTTGAACAAACAACTCAGGCTACGTGCCTTCACCAAAAAGTTCAACTACGAGTTGAACTGGGACTCAGGCCAAATGCCTTCGCCATCAAAGAAATACAAAGGTTCAACTAGGGTTGAACAAACAACTCAAGCTACGTGCCTTCGCCAAAAAGTTCAACTATGAGTTGAACTGGGACTCAGGCCAAGTGCCTTCCCCATAACAGAAAGACAAAGGTTCAACTACGGTCGAACAAATGACTCAAGCTAAGTGCCTCCGCCATCAAGAATTACAAAGGTTCAACTACGGTTGAACAGCAACTCAGGCTATGCTCCTTCGCCCAAAAAGTTCAACTACGAGTTGAACTAGGACTCAGGCTAAGTGCCTGATAGCATCAAAGATAAGGATATAATTAAAGATAATGATAGAGTTTTGGAAGCTCCAAGGCCATTTACTAGATCACAAGCTAAAGAGTTGTAAACTAAGGTTGCTGGACTTTTATGGCAAATAAAGAAGCTTTTAATTGTAGAGGAAGAGCTCAAGCCCAAAGGAGATGAATTATCCAAGTTTCATAATTATTTGGTGGTCCAAATTGAAGTCCAAGATGAGGAAGATTGTGTTACCAAATTAGCCTTTCAAGTCCACCAAAAGGGCTCAAAATGACCTTAAAAGAGGTCCAAAAGGGGGTATTTCAAAAAGAGTCCAATTGGAGTCCAAATCAATAGCCCAAACTAGTAGTTTGAAGGTCCAAATCTGTCCCAAAAGGATTAGCGCCCC